ACAGCAAAAGCAGCCCTCAAACCCTTAGAAATGCAAGGATTTGTATCTAATGCATATTGAGCAAAGTAATAAAACATGTCCTTGAATGCGATTTAACAAAAGTGAAGCGTTTTCTTCATTTGGTTTGCTGTTGGTAAAATCTGAGGGTTTCATTCAATAAAAGCTGCTGAATTTGGACAAGCCACAGGGTTGTAGGTCCGGCGGCAGCAGCTTTTAGGTGCCTGGCCGCATTCATGGGGAAGCTTGGAGAAGCTGGGGCATTTTCAGCTACTATATGGCACAGAGCAACCTTCACAGAGGAAGTGTTTCTGACAGCCACAGAATAAAAATGCAGTTTTGAGGTCTTGTATGAGGATGGAGAAAAAAGAATTTTTAAAGACCCTGCTAGTGATATCACCCCATTAAGAATTAAATCTCAGTAGCCATGGTCTGTGGGTAAGACTGACAAGGGAGTATATATAAGTAGCGTGGGGAGATGAGATAGAAAAAATGTGCAGGTCATTAGAAACCCAGGGGAGGAACACAGACAGAAAGAAAGCTGGAAAACGAGCTTGGAAGTTCAGCTCTTCCATCTCCCCTTCTGCGGAGATCCAGGCACTGGAGGTAGTTGATGCTGATCTCGCCAAAGGGCCGGGACTCCCCTCAGCGTGGGAACCTCTAAGGCTGAGAAAAGTATTCTCACCTGAAACTTAAAAAAAAAGAAAAAAAAATTGACATGGGGAGCACCTTGAATGCACCCACCTTTGAGAGTTTTGGGAATTAAGAAAAACCTTTTCTCAGGGAAAAGCCTCTTAACTTCAGTCATATCTGTGTGCCCTGTCTAGGCAGCTGGGGTGCTGCAAACACCTCAGAGAGGAAATCTGGATTTTAGGAGCCAGGAGAGCAGGGGCTGTTTTCTCACCACGGTATGGATAGTGACTTGCACAATGTTGATGCTTACTAAACATTTATTGAGTGAATCCATAAATTAGCAAATGAATCCCAGAAAAGCAGATTGCTAGTAGCACTCTCCATAGACAAACACAGGAATAATAAGCGAGGGCTAGTAACTTAAATATCCGTCATGGTTAGAGGTTTAAAGTGTGTATATATAACTTTGCATTTCCCAAAATCACCCATGCAAGTAGAAAGTTAAAGGGGAAAAGGTGCAAAGATAGATATAATTTTCATAAATAAGGTACTGGATACATAGATTAAATACAGCTCATGTAGTAAAATATTAGACTATTGTTTAAATACAAAAATACACATGCTATATTGTCAATCCAAAAAGTAGTTTGCCGAAATAGACCAAGTATGACTACAAATTTGAGAACTGTAAAATATTTTCTGCATATTTTTCTTATAAAAGATTCCAGAAATATTAAACGGCATTTATTTCTGGATAGCGAGATTATCAATTACCCTCATTTCCGCGGTTTCTAAAAACGGTTCTTTACCTAATAAAGCTCCTTTCCCTTGTACCACATTTATAATCAGAATAGTAATAAAGTGATTTAAAGATAAAAATAAATCACTCTCTTGCTGTGGCCAAATAGTCTATATCTTGTTCTAATCCTACCTAGGGAATATTTAGGAAGTTAATTACACTTTCTTACACCCAGTTCCCTTACTTGGAAAATAGAAATGCTAATATTGATATGTGGCCTTTCAAGTTCACAAGGCAGATGTATGGATGAAATGGGATAATGCATAAGGAAGCATTTTGCAAATTACAAAATACCTCATATATATATAACATTGCAGATGGGGATACGCATTGAGATGAGGAGGAAAAGGAGTGTGAGGAGAAAGGGAAGGGGTGCCTGGGTGGTTTAATCCGTTAATCTTCCGACTCTTGATTCAGCTCAGATCATGATCTCAGAGTCTTGAGACTGAGCCCTACATCAGACTGCACTGAGCACAGAGCCTGATTGAGATCTCTCTCTCCCTCTGGCCCTCCCCCTGCTTGTGCACAATCTCTCTCTCAAAAAAAAAAAGAAAAAAAGGAAGATGGAAGATGAGGTGTAGGAACAAATGAGGGTAGCCAGTGGTAATTTCTGGAGACATCGTTAGAATGATTCTCTTACTCTCTTACAGGACATGTAAACTTTTGCATTATAGAATTGGGAAAATTATAAAGTATTAGATCCAAGATGCTTTCCTTTTTGCCAAAGTTATACAAGGATGTCATGTGAGGTTCCATAAGAGAGCTGGGTCTCTGGCGGCTGTTTCTTTGTGCAGAGGATGGTAGGGAGAGAAAATACATTCCCTCCCCTCCCATCGCCTTCCACACACACTCTGAGCTTATGTGAGTTGTGGATATGGGGTTGTGGTTCAACCAATAAATATTCTTCAATTAACTTCTTACGTAAGTCCTGGCTAGAAAAGAAAGTAAAAATAAAAACAACGCACAGCTTACCATAACAACTCCATTCCAAACCCACAACATCCTCTGTATCCTCTGTATCCAGTCAGTTTCTCTCATTGAGACTTGGTAGTTAAATAAGGAATGTCACCTAAATCATCCCATGAGTCCTTTTGAGCAGTAAAGTTCTAGGAATCGAAGATTCCAGAGCTGTATGATTATGGTCTTCCCTTTCTACACATCTGTCAAATTGGGAACTGGAGTGGAATGATCATTTTTCCAGCAACACAGACATTCCACTGGCTGCTGCCTTGATACGTCTTGCTCACAGCTTGCTGGTTTAGCTGACACCTTATAATATAATGCCGGTACTCTGTTTTACCTCGGAAAAGTTATTTAACCTTCATGAGTTTCAGTTTCTCCCCTTGCAATCTGGGCTGAAAAGGAGCACCTGCTTTGGGTCATTGTGGAGTTACAGGAATACTCTGCCTAGAATGGTTAGGACAATGACCAGCACAATCTACAGGTACAATCCAAATTAGGTGGGATCCTTGACCTGACAACTTTTGAATTTTTTTCCCAAGGTTTTCTGTAAGTTTAGTGCACAAGCTATGAGAAGACGATCATTGAAAGATAGAGTCTGACTCTGAGACCCATTTCTTGATGCAAAATTCTGTCTATGGAACCACATCCCACACACTCTACATGTAATAATGTAATAACAAGAGTTATTTTCTCTTGTAATATGTAATAACATATTACAATATGTAATAACAAGAGCACCATGTTCTTCCATTAGAGCTCAAGTAGCTAAAAAGGTTATTATTCTCAAACCTAGCTTTGGCTTCACTAGAGCACAAAAAAGCTAAATTCCCATAAAGCTGCAAACTAAATAAAGTAAACCCAAATTAATGTATTGTATTTTTACAAAAGGATAAATAGAGCATTTTATTAATACTTTTTTTTTGCAGCAACAAAATGAGAGTCCACATCTTCTCATTCAACACAACAAAAGCTATGATCACATTACATCACTTTGAGACACAAAGCAAAGGATGTTTTTATTTTCTTAAGGTTCGGGATGGTTTGCATCTTTAAAACAAATGTTATGTTTTCTATTTGTAGTAGCACGGCTTCCAGTCACTAGCACAATACAATGAACAGATCAAATATCCAGAAGAGACAATTAAATACACCGATGACATTTTGCATTGAATTGGGAAATGCATTATTATCATTTAGAACATTCTAAAGAGATCTGATGTTAACTTTTTAAAAGAAAAAAAAAATCATTCCAACCACCCAGACAACTACCACAAGCAAAATGAAGATAATATACAGACAGGAAATTGTATGCATTGCACTTATTGCTTGGAACACAAATGTTGCAATTCCTGTTGAGTTGTATTAAGAAATGACAAGCAAAATGCCTCTGGCCCATCTAAAATTCTATGACTCTATGAAAGTAGAAATTGCAGTCCCCTAACCCAACATTAGGTGTATGCTAATTTTGGTTTTTTGTGACGATTGTTTATTATGCTTTTGTGTATGGATATGTATAAGATATACAGATATATATAGATATACTTTTAATATAATTTATTGTCCTATATATTTAAGACAAATATCTTTTAAATGGGACTTTAAATAATAAAATCATCTACTTACAATATCTCTATTAAGTTTATCTTTTCATATTATATATAGCTCTGTGGCACAAGTTTCATATAGTATTTTGTTATTAAGGAAGAAGAATATCTAAACCATTTTTTTTATTTCTTGTTGTTAATATTGCATTTTAAGGGCTGTATCTCCATAGTAAATTTCTTATTAGATTCTTTATGGTGTATGCAACTTTTTTTTTTCTAATGCAAGTTACAACCAGTACAAAGTTGTAATAAAAAATACATTAAAGTTTATTTACTTTTTATATTTTTTGCAAAAAGTTATGTGATATGTTACATGAAAAGTCAGATTTCTGTTGAAACGTGAAGTGTTTTATACTGTTAGGTAAATGAATGGAAGAACATGAAGCATACCCCTCCCTTTACAGGTTCTCTTTCACAGATATAAGTATATGTGCACAAGCATATCATATAAAACACTGCAAGATATTTCTTTTCAGAACCAACAAAATATTCCACATTATGTAATAACAATAATTATTTAGTACACCTTGCTAGTTGCTAGCCCACAATATTCTTCTCTAATTGAGAGATATATCAACTCCATAATTTATATTCAATAAACATTGCCACCACCTGATCCAGCCAACGTGACATCCTCAGGTTTCTTAACAGGACTTCTGCATGATATCTTGCAATACAGTGTAACAAATATATAAGTGCATTTTGCATGATCAAGTAGCTTTGGCTTCCTAACCTTTGTAGGATGGGATGTGCCAACTGTCGTAGTTGTGCTTTATTAAATGGTGATAAGTTTTAGCTCACATGAATCCAATGAGTAACTACTCGTTTCTACAATTTTGACCAGTCAACCTTTAAATCACAAACGCAAAAATGGATGGCCTGAATGGAAATGATGGCATTTCACAACTTCTACAGATTGCACTTGATGGTAACTTCATGAGTTTGTTTTGATTCATTTTTACAGCAAGACTTGCCTGGTTGATATGTTTACGTGTGTACACCACTTTTTTTTTTTTATTTTTGTGCAATCACAATTAATTTAATCACAAACACTAAAAATAAATCCAGCAATTAGCTTTGTTATGAATAGTCATCTCGCTCCTTATAGGTGTATGAGTCTTGTACTTCTTCTTGTACAAATTCCTCCTTCTTTTCCCAACCATTAGGCCAACCTCCATTGGCCTGTGTTGTGGCACCATAAGACTTGGTGGTACCATAATTTATATAATTTTGAGTAATGTCCCCTGTTTCTTCATCGAGCTCATCTTCATGGATAAATCCACATTTTTCTTCACTTGTTTCCTCAGGGTCTGCCCAGGGTTGCTTCTCTCCTGAGGCAAATATTGCATAAAATACAACTCCGCCGTAGTGGACCAGGGCAGCAATCAGGAAAACATACTGCCATTCTTCGCGTGACTGCGGTGACAAAAAGCAGCACGGTGAGAACAGACTCCCCATGTTTGAAAAGCATAACCTCTTCTTCGAATGCTCCACCATCAGGCTTTTCATAAAAATGCTATCTTTAGGGGAAGACCCTGTTCTGATTCTATAAAGCAAAGACTGTGGTAGAAACTTTCCATAATGTTATGACTTTCATTAATTAAAAAGTCTTTTAAATCTCAGGGTCTGAAATAAAACTCCAAACATAACTGTGGTCTGCTAATTTTTAAAATACCCATCATCTCTCCTGGAATTTCCATTGATTTACGTGTATTTTTTCCTCCTACTTCTTTTGTTTATTTCCTTATGGTGAACAATAATTGTGAAGCTCTACATGTAAGGACAGAGAGCTAATAACAATATTCTCCCACTGATAACTGCAGAGTCTGAATTGATGTTTCCAAATAAAGCTCAGAAGTCTTCTATTGAGTGCTCTAATAAGCTAAGAGAAAAAAAAGGTCTTCTGTTGTTGTTTTGCTACACCAGAGATACAAGAAATATTAAAAGGTGTTGAAAAGCACACTGCTTATTAGTTAGGAAGGAAGACTTCCTCAGAGTTCTCAGAGATTTTCTAGTGAGCCTCAATTAACTCCTTTATCAGAGGTCTGGTGGCTGGACCACAGAGAGAGCGCCAAACAGAATACAGTAACTCTTCTCTACCATAAGGGAGAATCTTCTAAAACGGATCATTTCTTTAACTGCATCTTACCTTATTCTTTGTCATTGCACCAACAATGATAGGGCAAACCATTCCTGACAACGTGCCAACACCATTTGAAATGCCCATTAAGATACTGGCATATCTCGGAGCAATATCCAAGTGGTTAACATTGAAACCTGAAATAACACACATCAGCTTAGAGTCCGAGAATCCTAAACCCCTGGGAAGTGGGTGACTGAAGTTTATTCTCTACCACACTCAACGCGCTCAACGCTCTCCTTACAGGAGACTAGGTATACAGCAGGTGCTCAGTAAATATTTTTTTATACTTTAGCTCAAAGATATAATCGGAGTGGAATAAAGTATGGTTTCTTATTCAATACTTAATACGTGATGCTCAAATCACAGAGAAATGTTCTCTTAAAAAAAAAGAAGAAGAAGAAGAAAGGTAAGCAGGAGGAAAATGAGAAGTGACAAATCCAAATAACGATTTCCAAATGTGTTATTCTTTTTACTTTCTAGTGGGACTATGTTAAGTAAATTTTCAACAATAGAATATTAAAGAGGAAAGGAGAATATATGCATTATTCCAGCCAAAAGCAGCATGTTACATTTATAAATTTAAGAACATGTATCTTACCAGAAATAGCAAATCCACTGAATCCCACTGCAAGTACCAAGAATGAGATAGCTACCCCTCTAGTGTGAGAATAGCCAACGACCAGAAGCAGGGTTGCTTCCATGCCAAAACCTTCAGAAACAAACACACGTAAGCACTTCAGAAATTTGTGTAAATTTTTCCAATGAGCCAAAAGTGCCAGAACTTCTCAAGCTTATCTGACCTAAGAAACCTCTTCAGGGAGTCTATCTTAAAAGTAATAATAACAGCGGCAGCTGGGTGGCTCAGCCCATTAAGCCTCAGACTCTAGACTTTAGCTCAGGTCATGATCTCAGAGTGGTGAAATCAAGCCCCAGGTAGCCCATGCGCTCTGTGTTCAGTGGGAAGTCTGCCTTAGATTCTCTCTCTCCCTCTGCCCCTACCCCACCTTCTCTCTCAAATAAATAAAATATTTAAATAATAATAACAGTTATAATTTATGCAGAGAGATTACTGAAGCTTTTCATTTTTTTAAAGATTTTTATTTATTTGACAAACAGAGATCACAAGTAGGCAGAGAGTCAGGCAGAGAGAGAGAGAGAGTGAGGAGGAAGCAGGCTCCCCACTGAGCAGAGAGCCCAATGCGGGACTTGATCCCAGGACCCTGAGATCATGACCTGAGCTGAAAGCAGAGGCTTTAACCCACTGAGCCACCCAGGTACCCCTGAAGCTTTCCATTTTAATAAAAACACTGAGCACACCCTTAAGTTCCAATGATGGGCAAGGATGAGCTATTTATGTAGTTATTTAAAACTAGGAGTCATAAGGGGTTCCTGGGTGGCCTAGTCATTAAGCATCTGCCTTCAGCGCAGATCATGATCCCAGGGTCCTGGGTTCAAGACCTGTGTCAGGCTCCCTGCTCAACAAGGAGCCTGCTTCTCCCTCTCCCACTCCCCCTGCTTGTGTTCCCTCTCCTGCTGTCTCTCTCTGTCAAATAAATAAATAAAATCTTTTTTTAAAAAAAACCTAGGAGTTGTGAAAATTTGAGGATAGGGAAGTGATTATAAATGAACAGGGAAGACATGAATTTAGCTGCATATTTGACATGCACAGTAAAATTACTCACTCCTGTAGATCAGTACTTCATGAACCAAAATCATGTCCTTCACGTGACTTATGTACTTACCACCACAATTCATGATCTTTCTTACTGTAGTAGTTGAAAGAATTTGCTTGCTTCTTAGAAAATCTGCAATCTGTCCTCCAATGGGCACAATAATTGTCATTACTAAGTGTGGCACAGCAGATAGCATGCCAACCTGAAGAAAAAGAAGAAGAGGAAACATACACATGACCACACGTAATATGAGCAATGGTCTTGGTTGTTTGAATCTGTCATAAATTCTTTATAGGAAAAGAAAGAAAAATACTGTCTTCAAATGACCGCTTACTCATTCCTAGAATAAGCAATAACTTCCACAGAATAAATGAGAAAAGCTAACTAAATTACATTTTATCTTTTAGGAAAGAATAATGCTTTTTCCTGTGTAATGAGTCAGTAAATTTCGAGTTTATGAATAAACTATCCTGAATCTTATCACAGAGTGATTCACATTTATGTGTCCATTTCATATTCTTGAATATATTTGCAAAAATTTACCATTAGTGAGTGGGAGAGTGACAGAGACAGAGTCAGAGGGACAAGAAATGTATCTGACAAGCTTTAAAGAGGCTGTATTTTTAAATTTTTTTTTAATTTTTAGGAAAGCTAAAAAACCTTAATTGCATTTTAAATATGTATCTCTTATGAGTTTTATATTTAGTCTCGAAGCTAAATTTAGCCCAGAAAATGCAGATTGGTTCTTCAATTTTAGGTATTTTCTATGTCAAACATTAGTATTTTGTCACATTGTCACACAGCGGTATGTCATACGAAATAGCTCAACTGAAAATCTAACCTACCAGCATCAATTCAGCACACATTTCTTGGCTAATAATTTTGTGTAAGACACTCTTCTCTGGGCATCATGAGGACAGGAAATATGAATAAAATGCATTTTAACTGTGTTCATAGACTAAGCAGATTTTGAATATAAACATATTAAGGAAGTTTTTTTTTTTTTTCCCTAAGTGTAATTTGAAGTATACTTCCTACAGATTAGAAAGTATACTGGGGAAAAGTGTATTACTTGTGTATAAAAATGTCTTCCAAGTTAGATTATTGAAGGTTTGAGACAAAGGCTGGTCAATTTCACAATGGCATACAATAGAGTACCATGTCCACGGAGTCCCGGTTGTTATCATGATTAACCCAGTCAGTGAATGACTCTTACATACCTTAAATGTCTGAGTTATTTAATTCACTCTTTTTTAATCCAGATGAACGTTTATTATATTATTACTCTCTTGTATCGATGAAGAAAATATACTTAAAAGGGCTAAATCATTTCCAGAAACAAATACTGAGCCATTTTTACCTGAGTCTGAAACCTGGGCTTTTAAACACTATGCTTAGCACCATAACCATCTGAGAAAGAAAAATCAAATAAAACCAGACAATGTTCTGACTGCTCTTTTAATTTAGTTCAAAACCTGTCATTTAGTAAGGGCTCAACAAATCTGAACTAAGTTAAACTCTAAGGTAAACCGACATTAAGGCAAACATTATCACTTTTGAGAATAGCACCTCCAAAGCAGAGTTGTTGTTTATTCCTGACTACAGTAGATATATTTAAAGCAACCAATATGTAGAAAGAAGCTCTCAGACAAGAAAACATTCTGAAATACACCACGTAAGGATTTGCACAACATTGTATGTTGTGTGTTTGCTTTTAGAGGCAGAGAATCTGGGAGAATGACTTGCATTTTCTAAATTCGCGTAATGGGCCTGCATCTTGACTCAGTGTTTAAGGCATCTGAGAAGCTCTTAAGTCGAACACCCTTTGCTCTTTACTATCTACTCAAATAGACATTTTAATTCCTTTGGATAAATGAAGAATAAAACTATGATTATCAGCTATTCACTTTTAGCAAAGCACTATGGAAAAGTGCAAGGAGCTAACTATTTAGAGGTTAATGAGACAGAAGTTGGGGATATCCTACTCCACTGACTTAATACTTGAAGGTACTCAATCTCTCAGTTTCTAGGACAATATGGGGACCTATTCAGTATGTGACCTCATCAGGGCCAAGTTGCAGAACTTTTTGAAAGTTATTCAACAATCTCCTCAGTCTTTGGTGATTTACCATAATCACTTGCAATCACATGTTATCAGAATGCTCACAACTTTTGGGGAGTATCATTATTTATGATAATCCCACAGCACTTTGCTCATTATTTTAAGGTTTTACAAGACTAAGCTAAATGTTTTGAGTCTATGACTGACTGATTCTTCATAGACACTCATTAGACTTCATGCATTCTCCTCTTTGCTTCTCTGGGTCACAGTCTGGATTTCCTCTCTCCCCACCTGTTCCATATTCTGTTTAGAAATTGGCAGGCTATCACACAACAAAGAGCAGCCACTCAACACTTCTCCTCTGCTCTAAAGGTAAAGCTCAAAAGGAATGAATGTTTCCTCTCATTTGGTTGTCTCTTGTAACATGACCTCTCAAAGTGCTGGTTAATCCAAGCACTAGCCTTCCCTTGATCGGTCATTTTCAAAAGGCTAAAAATGTTTCTATATAAGCATTATATACTATATATATAATATATTAATTACAATTTATATTAATTTTTAATTTCTATAAAATACTAAAATATAACTTAAAAATATAATATATATACACATCTATGCATATTTCTGCTTTAACTGGGTCAGTCTACTTGAAATGAAGATTGAGCTATTGCACTTGTGTTTTAGTTTAGTTTAGTTTAGTTTACTCAATTTAACTAAGGTTGGAGAGAACTATCCTCCATTTAAATATTTTAGTTTGCTTACATTTTGCCGTGATTCTGAAGGAGGATATTAATACCATTATTTATGAAAAAGAAAATCAAAGCTGGCAATCATTCAAAAACCAGCCCCAGGTTATGTATCAGTAGTTTATTGCAGAGCTTGGATCCGGAGCCATGCCAGCCTGGATCTAAAGCCTGTTTTCTATTTCCATTACTACCTCCTTTATACATTTTTCAAGTAAGTCAGTGACTTTTTTTTTTTTTAAGAGTATAATCAAAATCTTCAATCTGTGTGTGTAGAACTTATCTGAATTTTAGTTAAAAATATAACAAGTGAATCAGATCAACTCATCTGGTTATTCTATTTAGCTTTGCAAAATATCATTGCTTTTACTCAAGCACTTTCAATTAAGTGGAGCTACAGGCCCAGAATGACCACACGGTTTCATTAACATCAGTTGGCTCTTACACTTCTCCCCCATGAGACCTGACTTTATTAATAGCCTCTCAGTGTCATATTTGTCCTAGATTATGAAAATGGACTCACACCTCCAGCCGCCTTTGTTGAGAAGTGTTAACACCTCTCAGAGCTTCCAAAGGCTACCCTGCAATGTTTGATCAGCTCTAGAGAGAAGAGGCCTATCTAAAGCAGCCATTCTTCTCAGGAATGGAGGAAACAGTTTCCTTAGAAACAGGGATTACAAAAGAGCTCTTAGAATAGCTTCTCCCTAAACTCAGGTTTTCTTCAATTCCAGGCCTCAGATAGTCTTTCAAGTAGAGACATAATATGAATAGGGAGCCCAGCTGGATGTATGTAATGACATGAAGAGAAATGGCCAGTCCATGGGCAGCACACACAAGTGTATTCAGGACTCCGCAAAGGGCTTGGCAGGGATGGTATTTAACAAATACTTGCTAAGTGCTTAAATGAAGATAGGGTCCACCTGAATTTGAATAACATAGTAAAGGGAACTGAAACATAAATTAAAGAATCGGGGCTTAAGCTTGATTTGGGCATATATTACCAGCGTGGCCTTAGGCAACACAATACCCTCCCTAGTTTGTTTCCCCATCAACAGAAATGATGAGAGTTATCCAGCTGGTCAACCAAATAAGGTTGTTCATGAATATGAAAGGATCTTGTGAATTTCAAACACTTCTATAAATATAAAGTCGTTATTTTTATGTTCATTTTGTCCTTCTAGAAAATCCCAGAATGATTATATTTTCACAGCTATGAACAAATGTCTCTAAGATTTAGCATACTGTGCTGTAACTGGTAACTAATTACTTTCGTGTATACCACCAAGCCGTGAACTCCTGAGCATGGGAACAATGATTTTATTTCTGAACCTAACACAAATCTTCACACACATCCTATTCAACAAATGCCTGTTAAGTGAATAAGTTGAATAAATGACACATAAGAATGTTTTCAGATTTTTTTTTTTTGCTTTCTCAAATCTTTTAGCAAGACAGCTTTTTTTAAGTTTATAGGAAATTAAAAAAAAAATTTTTACTCGAGTATAGCTAACACACAATGTTATATTAGTTTCAGGTGCAGGACAAAGTAATTTGACAAGTTTATATGTTATACCATGCTCACCACAAGTGTAGCTAACATCCATCAGCATACAACATTATTACAATTTCATTAGCTATATTCCCTATGTTGTGCTGTTTGGTCCCATGACTTATTCATTCTATAACTGGAACCCTACATCTCACGTTCCCCTTCACCCGTTTTGCCCATCCCTCATTTCCTATCTATCCTTCTGGTAACCATCCATTTGTTCTCCGTATTTACAGATCTTATTCTGCTTTTCATTTGTTTATTCATTTGGGTTTTGTTTGGTTTTAGATTCCACCTATGAGTGAAATTGTATGGTATTTTTCTCAAAACCTGATTTATTTAAACTAGTATAATACCATCTAGGTCCATTATGTTGTTGCAAATGGCACAGTCTCATCCTTTTTATGGCTGTGTGATATTCCAGAATGTCTGTGTGTGTGTGTGTCCATGTGTATTACATCCTCCTTATCCATCTATCAATCAGGACTACCTCAAAATAAAAAGCTTTCACACAGACAAGATAACCCAATTTTTGAAACATTGAAGAAGAGATTGGTAATTATTTAAACACAATTCCATTTCAATAAAATTTTTTTTTGTTCACTGTTACATTGTCTCTGACCTGAGACTTAAAGGAAGTTATGTTTCTTTAGAGGGGAAAGGCTACAGCGCTGTCCACCTTAACTGAACTGTAAGTTCCATGAGGACAGACTGGGTTGATTTTGCCTGTGTTTCCATTGAAAAGAGCGATTTCTAGCAGACAGCTGAGTACCGCAGACACTCCAACACCTCACTTAGACTTTACTTCCCAGAAATTATTTGTTAAGTGGATAAACAAATAAATGAGTAACTCCTAAAATTTAGAAGATAAAATATTGACAAAGGAACTTAATATTCAATTGAGCACAAAAATAATGCACTGGTTAAACAAGGATAATCTTCACATACCTTGCTGATTTCAAATCCAAAGACTTCCTCAAAGTATGCTGGCTGACTAATCAGCAGTAAGTAAAATGTCCAGCTTCTGCAGAAGTTGGCAACAATTATTGCATAGACAGGCATAGATGTAAAAAATTTCCTCCATGGGGTCTTGAATTTCTGAAATCCCAAAAACGAGAGCCATTCTGACCATTTTAAATATTTTCTGACTTAAATGGGAATAATAGGTGCTTTGCATTTCCAGGATGTATGTGTTGAGGCATGAGTAGGAGGTAATGGAGTTAATTGCAGCAATCTAGTTAACCTTAGCTGCATGAATAATTATTGGAAGAAAAAAAGATATTAGCCTCTTCTGATTAAATTGATCCCATTTGAGGAATGTATAAGATCCTATGTTTATAGAAAACAATTCCTAAAGCACAGATCCTAGTTTCCAAGATTTTTTTTTTTTCTGGCAGTGATAAATCACACCTCAGCTAAAGATCCTTGCCCTATCAGTGACCTTATTGGTATCCAAAATATTTTATCTAAAACATTGAGAATTCAATATAGTTAGGAGGAGAAAAATAAGAAAAATTAGAAGTGCAATATTCTCAACCCTATGTAAAGTTAATAATACCACTATTATAAATTCTCTTTAATATGTATTTTTTAAAGATTTTATTTATTTATTTGACAGATAGAGATCACAAGTAGACAGAGAGGCAGACAGAGAGAGAGGAGGAAGCAGGCTCCTTGCTGAGCAGAGACCCCCCCCAATGCGGGGCTCGATCCCCGGACCCTGAGATCATGACCTGAGCCAAAGACAGAGGCTTTAACCCACTGAGCCACCCAGGCACCCCTATAAATTCTCTTGATAGACAATGAATGTCAATATAAATTCTATAATACTGAAGGGCATGGTTCTATAAAACTCACATGGTACACAGCTGGGTTGAAGTATGTGGCTACCATGGACACATCATAACTAGTTATTTATGAAATTCAAAACATTCAAAATTAGCCACCTACATGGGATTGGCTTTGCTTATGATACCCATTTAGAAATTATATCTAGTGTACTCAAAGATTCTATATATGCCCAAACATGAAGCAAGTATCTTCCCCTAAGACTTGGTCTTGGGTATAACATTTTTAGACCCAAAAGTGTCTCTCACATTCTCACTTCCTCAGTGACTTTATTTTGAATGTCAAAATACTGTTGGGTGAAGTCAGAGTAGCCTGAAAAAACTCCATTTAATGCTAGCTTGGGATCATTAACCTGGCCAAATTAGTAAAAGGGGAGACAAACACTTTTTACACAGATTTGGTAATTATTCCTGGATGGAGAGCCTCGTAACTGCTAGTATTGGCTGTGACTCTAACTAATCTAATGAAGCCTTTCAAGGTCACTTTAACTGTAATATAGTAAGAAACTATATCGTCACAATCACAAATACACATGACAAAAGAGAAAAACCAAACCAGACCAAAAGCATCTCCTAATAACATATAATGAGTACTGTGGCTTTGAATGAAAATATCCAGTGACAATATCATAGCTGGGTTGAAAATGTGCATTGTTTAAACCCTATATACTCTGGAAAGATAATGCCAGATAAATATACTTATTTCACAGAAAATGAAAATTGTTCAATACAGGGATGTCAGCATTGTGGTATTATGTTAGTGTAAGAAGTAACTTCAGAATATTATTAAAAGTAAATAACTTTTTGCTGCTGGGAAAGTGTTTCTATTATTCATATCTGGATCATCTCTACTAAGAAATTTATTCTTCAGGTTGTAAAACACTTCGTCAAATGTGAGATAGAAGCATCTAATTTTATATCTTAAAAAATTATTCGGGGTCATAGGAGGGTTTATAGTATCCTGTTAACAGTCTACTTACTGACCCGGCTTCACATGTGTGTATGGCTTACAAAAATTAAGTAAATTGTTCACTTATGATTGGTGTGTTTTTCTGTATACAGGTTAAATTTAATTTTTTTAAGAAAAAATATTTAAAAGGCATTACAGTCAGCTGCAATGTGCACTTCTTAATTAGATGCAGACTCTAAAGAAATAGCCACAAAGGACATATGATAATAGACTAGATATTTGAATTTGGACTGGGTATTAGAAATCGGAATATGATCTAGGTATTAGGTAATGTTAGGGAATTATTCTTCATTGTTTAGAAATAATAATAGTTCTTAGACTGTGAAAAAGTACTTTTAGTTTCCTAGAGATGCATGTGAAGTATTTGTGCTAAAATGTTAGGAGATCTCATTTCCTTTGAAATCATTCAGCAATAAGAAAAGTGAAATAAATAAGGCGAAGTGTTGATAACACTTGCATGTCTGCAGTGGATACATGAATGCTTCTGTTACTATTCTCTCTGTTTTGCTGTATATGGAAATTTTCACAATAAAAATTTCAAAATAACTGTAAGTACAATGACCAAAATATAATCTCATTTTTAATTTTGATTTGAAGCTATAAGAAAGTATCAAACTTCAGTAAGAAGTGGAATATTATGTTTGGAAAAAATATTATGTTTGGAAAATATTATATAAATGGACCATTCATCCATTTATAGATGGAAACAGGCAGGAGGAAGTTCTATGCCAGTTCAGAGTGCAAGAATTTGTTTTTAAGTACTGAAGTTTCACTTCTGAATGATATCCAATATGGGATTTTTCTTATTCATTAAAGGCTTCAACAATAGTGGGTGAGAGATAGACCTTTTTACCTAGGCTGGTAAAAAAGATGTTTTTTACCTAGTCTGTCAAAGACAGACCTTCTCTAATAACAAAGTAGAGAATTACAGCTAGACTAAAACTTAATTAGAAAGAGGAGAGGAGCCTTCAAAAGAAAAAGAAGCATAACTTATAGGAGACACTGGTTCTCTACCTTCCAGCTCTCAGCATAAGGAAATTGAGTTACTGTTGAGGTGCTGAATTTCTGAGCTTAGTTCAATTAGTTTTGCTTCCCGATTTTTAATAGTATCAAATAGCTATTTATTAATTAATATGTATGATATATTAATGTCACACAGACTAAAAGATTTGCATTATTGATGCAGAGCTGTATTTTCTCTCTCCACAGAGCCCATGCAAGAAATCAAATTAGAATCAGAAAGGGGGTCCATGTTATATTTTTTATGACACTTTATCTTCATAAAAAATCCTGAAAATAAGACTTTATCAATAACAAGATTATATTACATTAAAAATATTTTTATGTCAGCTCTTACTGATTTTCTAATGATTCTGGATTTCTTTAACCACTTGTAACGTAAATACACACGTGTAAAACCTATGACAATTCAATACACAAAAAATAGCCCTTTTCATGATTGTGTTAGGTGATCTGGCATTTCCTACGATCTGAAATTAACAAATATTTGTTGAACTTGGTTAAATTATGAACCATTTGAACATCTATAAAAGCTTATTTAGGTTTATAGTCATTGCCATAGTCCAGGGGAAACTTGAAAATCATTCAGAAAGATTAAAAAAAAAAGAATTATAGATGGGGGAAGTAACAATTATTCCTAAGTCAGAAAGTATGGATGGAAGAAAGAAAACAATCATGATTAACACCAAATTGGTTTTGTTGAATAGGGACTCAGAAAGTGGTTTGGTTGGTCAAAGGGAGGTGAGATGAAGAATAAAAACAGGAATGTACACCATAATAAAGTCCTTACTTCCATTGCACCTAAAAGATTTGCACTCTCTCCAATGCTTTCTTCAATGTACCTACGTTCTTCATCTGTAATAGTAGGATGCTTTGCAGGACTCTCATAAGACACCAAAAGCCAAAACATGTACCAGACCATTCCAAAGCTTCCTGCAAGGAAGGGGTCAAAAGAAGAAAATCAAAAGTCTGTCATAAATACCCCCCATTTAACTGTCATTTGCTGGAATAAAACTGTAGGGATCTCTTGATAAACCCATTCTCTAGGATGGGAATTGGAGTTTATGCTTCTCCAATTCAGTTCTTCTCGTGTTGATGCCACTAAACTCCAAGCTTCCTGAAGGCTGGTCCTGTAGTTTTATCTCTTTGTCTCCAATAAGGCTGAGACACAGCATTGGATAATTATTGAATGGTGTGGTTTGGGATATGTTCATACATCCAACAAACATTTACTGCCTTTACTATTGCAGGCACTCTGCTAAGTGAGAGAAACATGGTGAATAAGACAGAATTCCTGTCTTCAAAGAATTTTATAAGGGGGGATTGTTTTCTTATTTGCCCTCCTTGGCTGTATGAGAGTGGTCTGTATTTCCACAAAAACAGAAGTACTCATTTCCCTTTCTTGTTAGCACTTCCAGATCTAGTAAAGAGATTATTAAATAAAATCTACATTATTTTAGCTTGGGTTGCTACCATTCATAAAAAAGGCAGGGGGTGGGGGTCTTCTGTAATTAATGTAGTAACATTTAACACTTTATGTGACGATGTACCATTATTATTTTCAGTACATAATATTACCTATTGATCGCTCTGGGCAAATGAAAGCTATAAATTCTAACACAAAAGACTGTTTACAATTTTTTTGCATCCCTTTCTTTATTTAGCACTCTATTAAAACATGCCCTTATTGTGAAATGTAAATCTAAAGTATTAATAAAAGAAAGAATTTCAAGTGATTCATTCTAGTTTCCCAGAGGCTAGTCGTATCATTTTTGGCTTCTACTGTTCTTTGTCCCTTGGGTAACAGTCTAAACGCTCCTGATCTCTATAATACTTTTTTCTTGCTTGTTCAATCTCTCAGAATTATTTCTTAATACCACAGATTTTCACAGGTCATGCTCCTTTTCGTTACCAAACATGACAGCAAACACAAATGGGAGTTCGATGGTATGTGAAAATTTGGTATAGTATAGTGGTTATGGAATATGGCTCTCCCGGATTCAAATCCTGGCTGTGTCACTTACTAGTGACGTGCTCCAATCAATGACTGACTCTCCGTACACCTCCACTCTAAAACGAGACAATTTCTTTTCTATGAGATTGTGGCAAAGTATAGTTAAAGGAGATAATGTATGAAGCAACTAGCATGGTGAATGGCACAAAATAAGCACTCAATAAATGAAAGCTCTTGTAATCCAGTAGTAATTATCATCACCGCCAACTGAACGAATCTGAAGTGCCGGACATTCAGCTAATGGCTATATATGCATTATCCTCTTTTAACATAAGCCACTATACAGATCTTATCTTATTTATTTTTGAAATATTAATATTGAACACGTGGCTCAAAGACCTCATTTTTGCTATACACAGTAACTAAGCAAGTACTATGGGGCTGTGGTGTTTTCAGATTATCTAATATTTAAACTTTGTATCATTCAATGATAGCTATTAAATAAGATACAACTTGACATAATGAGATTGATTTTCATGAGTGCTTTGTGTAAATTAATATTCTTTTTTTTTAAAAAAAGATTTATTTATTTTGAGAAAGAGAGAGAGAGCATGTGCACATGCCAGGCGCATGAGCAGGGGAAGGGGCAGAAGGAGGGTGGGGGAAGCAGAATCCGCCCTGAGCAGGGAGCCTGAGGCTGCTGACCTCATGACCTTGAGATAGTGACATGAGCCAAAACGAAGAGTGGGATGCTTAACCGACTGAGCCACCCAGGCACCCCTGGAAATTAATATCCTTACTTTAAAGTCACATCATATTTTCAATCAAGTAATGGATTCAATTAAGGGACAAATCAGACGATTTAATATCCGGGCATCCCAACTTGTATTATATACCCTATACACATTTGCTTTCAACTTCTTTGAATTATGGACTCTAAAATCTAATGAAAGATGTGGATTAAAATCTAAGAAAAACATCTCCCCAGGAAAAAAATGTACAAATGCATGCGTGGCTTATCCTTTAGGATGTTCATGAATCTAAAACCTATCTATGGCTTTTGAACCAGAAAAAGAGCTCTTGCTATAAAGCATATTTAATAATATTCTGCAAACATAAGAATTTGCTCTGATGAGAACATTTTGAAATGGGAGTGGATCATGCCAAATTTGAAAGCAGCCATATACTGTTCAGTTCTACCTCATGATGTCATTAATATTTCACATTCTCCTGCCCATGTCCAAAGATGGTATTAATCAATGACATCATGGGATGCCTGGGTGGCTCAGTTGTTTAAGCCTCTGCTTTCGGCTCAGGTCATGATCCCAGGGTCCTGGGATCGACTCCCTCATTGGGCTCCTTGCTCAATGGGGAGCCTGCCTCCCACTCTGCCTGCTTGTGCTTTCTCTCTCTCTCTCTCTCTCTGACAAATAAATAAATAAAATCTTAAAAAAAAAATCAGTGACATCAGTTGGAATCTAGCTCTCTTATATTTCTTTTTTCTCATGGCCAAAAAAAAAAAAAAAAAAAAAAGTCTCCTAGAGAGAGACTCTAGGGGTACTCTCAAGTGGTAAGCTTTCTGGTTCTAGTTAGAAAGTGAACAGAAAGGGACTTTAGACTTAGGACTTCTTGTCCTTTTTTATTTCCGTTTGAGGGCTTCATCTCATTTCATCCTGGAGTAACAAGGACTAAAATGTGAGGTTGCCGCAGGTGACTGTTAATAATTTGTCACAAAAGAGAACTGTTGCCTTAGCACTGCTATCCCCTGCCAGCTTCCCATCCCTGCTCAGTTTTGAGGAGGCAGGGTCCACAGAGAAAACAGTAGCAAAGAAAGAGAAGTATGTTCTGCCTAGCTCTTTCCTCTTAACTGGCTTTGAATCAAGAACTAATTTATTTTTTTCCATAATCAAGGACAATACATGAAATATATCATAAAGTTTCCACCAATGATGTACTTGTATTTTTAAAACAATAAATAACAAGGTAGGGAGACTCATAATGATAGAACATTTTCCTTAATCTTCTCAAAATATAAGGAAAGGATTCTTAATGGAAAAAAAAATGTGAGTGAATGCAGAAGTATATTCAGTGATCTACCTCACCATTTTAGTTTACACCCATGTCTTTCAACTTTACTGTGTAGTATGCAACATACCATAGACATAGAATACTGAAGACCAACCAGTATACTGCACAAGAATGCCAGCTAAAGGCATTGCAATTACAGCTCCAGCATATGAACCTAAAATAAAAGGAAGAATGGGAGATAGGTAAGTGAAAGAAATAGAAATTCTTGACTTCATCTCATGTCTCTTGGTAGGCTCTCACAAACACTCTTGCATGCTCAGGTGCATGTACACTCATACCTCTCTATCTCCAAATACATATATGTATCTATATATATAGCCAGTGACACAGGACCACATAAGCAGATGTGACCTACTTATCCCAAGACACAAAAGATATCTAGAAATACTAACACTATAATAAAAAAATAAATTTAAAAAGACTATTACAAAAATTATTCATGAATATATTTGAAAACTTAGATAAAATGGATGAACTAGAAAGACACAAAACACAGAGGAAACAGAGGATTTAAGGAGACCAATAAGAATTAAAGAAATTGAAATGGTGGTCAAAAACCTTTCCTCATATACATACACACACACACACACACACACACCCTCCAAATGATTTTAGAGGTGAGCTTTATCCCCTTTCAAGTCTTATCCAAGTTGTTCCTGTACTTTTACCCACCATAACTGTCTGCATGCAGGACTCACCGCAAAAGGAAGTGGTTGCCAATCTACTCCTCTCTAGAGGAGGAGCCCATTTACTCCATATCCCATGACATGCTGGGTAGGTGACACCCTGTGATGGGGAAGATGTATATCACCATTAAAGGGTCACTGGAAAATAAGCACATTCCCTTCTCTGACGTTGTCTCCTCAGAATGGGCCCAAGGCATTAGGAAAAACTGCTACTCATAGATCTTTGCTAATTCCCTGAAATTCCACTTTAAAAACTTTCAGCCCACATCGGGTAAGACATGGCTTCTTTTTAGTGACCTGTCCAAATTCTCCGCACCCTTTGAGTCTTCCTTCTACCTCAGTTCCCTTCTGATGAAGGCAAAAGAAAAAACCCTTTATTACTCCATTCATCTGGAACTCTGAATAGTTTGAGAAATGTGGGAGGTCTTTTTGTGAGGCTTTAAACACAGTGATTCCCAAATATAAGGAATCCATACAGAGGAAGCTAAAGCTAGATCCTTGAAGCTCACACTTCCCAAAAGTAGTGTCTAGAACATAAGACTTTTAAAATAATTATTCATTTTATACATTTTTATCCTACCAATCTTCTCTTTCTTTTTGGAGAGAAAGGAGAATGTTTTCAGTGCTTAACACTTTATCTGATTTATCTACTCTCACTGTATTTCAGGAGAAGAGAAGGGCAATAGGTAGGCCAATCTGAAGTTCTTAAAAGTCAATCATTAGAGTTACATTCCCAAAGAATATAGTCAATGAAATATTTTAGTGAAAACTCAAATCATGATTCAAGTCCAACAAGGATTTGGTATAAATCTCCCAAAAAGTATTAATTCAGGGTTATCACCAGCAAAGGACAGACTCAAAAATTTTCCTTACAGCACATTAACCAAAGTGCCTGTTCTTCTTCGCCCCCCCCCCCCGCCAGTCAAATAGTCACTAAACATTTCTTTAATACCACTTAATTCTAGAGAAGGGGAGGCAAGCAGTCACAGTTGTACTTTAGCATTAATTAAACACAAAATACCTGTATGTCTAAATTTTCCAATTTTTGAAGCATAGTATGTAGACACAACCTTATAAAATGTTTATTTGTAGATCAAGTCCAAGATAATCTGCTGGTTCTGATTAACACGCCAATCTTAAGATGGCGCCCTCCTGGGGTTCCATACCTCAACAAGCCCCTGCAGTATCCGGACAAAGATGACACACCCATAATGCACTCTGGCTGCTGATGGGATTAGCATATTCAGAGTAGATGTAAGAAGTATGGCAGCTCCAAAAACCCTGAAAAAGAGCAGGAGTTAATGGCTCTAAATTTCTCAGGTCAAGTTAAAGGCAATTTTAAGATAGGTTTTGTTTTTTGTTTTGTTTTTTTTTTCCTGAAAGAAATATGTTCTGTACTTGATGAGTTAGCTACTACAAATAGATACTTGGACTATCTTGAAATGTTACATTATTGAAGCACAAGAAATAAAAGATTCAATAAATCCAGTATTATGTACTTATATTTATTTTCTTCATAGATCTAATTACAAATTGCAAATATTAGGACACCTGGGTGGCTCAGTCAGTTAAGACTCTGCCTTCTGCTCAGGTCATGATCTCAGGGTCCTGGGATTCAGTCCAGGGAGCCTGCTTCTCCCTCTCCCTGCCATTCCTCCTGGCTTGAGTTCTGTGTCTCTCTCTGACAAATAAATAAATAAAATCTTAAACAAACAAACAAAAAAAAATTGCAAATATTTATCAAATCATTGTTGATGGTTTGGGTTGATATCTCAGTCTACAACGTAAGCTGCTTTGGGGAGAGACCTTGTTTTTCAAGTCTACTGTTATATCCCCAATACAGCGCAGTGCCTGACACATAGAAGATACTCACTGAAAAGTTGTCAAAAAAAAAATAACAAACGCCTGAATGGAGTTATATTTCACATTATACAACTGTTTGCGACTTCCCTAGAAGCTGCATGTACATAAAAATCTAATGAATGCAATTATATTTTAAATGCCCCAAGAAATCTCATGATCAGATCCGACAGCACAAGTATTGGTAATGAAAATAACTATTACTTAATATATATTTTTTTATTTCCTTTTTGTGTATGTGAGTGGGGGTACTGTCTGAGGCACACCTCTAGCTGCACACATACACACAACAATTCAGAAAAGAATTGCTGAAAATACAGTGCTCATACCTTCCTCCACCTGTAAGCAAAAATTCCACTTTGTTCTTAAAAAAATCTTCCATAATGTTCATACTAAGTAAGGAAAATATTCCCTTTAGGGAAGTTTAGGAACTTTAGAAATACCCTCTTGTGGAGAAGTTTGGGGACACACTATCTCTAATGAGCTAAGCTGTGTGTCCTCTGCATGTTTTCTCCAGCTGAACATTGAGCCTTGAATTCAGTGAAGATTGTTGCCTCACAGAAGCTCCGATTCTTCCAGCGGGTCCATTTAAGCGTAAGAGTTAAAGACTGAAGTTTCTGAAAGGGGCCTTGATTGTTATTTTTTTTTTAAGATTTTATTTATTTATTTGACAGACAGAGATCACAAGTAGGCAGAGAGGCAGGCAGAGAGAGAGGGAAAAGCAGGCTCCCTGCTGAACAGAGAGCCTAATGCTGGGTTCTATCCCAGGACCCTAAGACCATGACCTGAGCCGAAGGCAGAGGCTTTAACCCATTGAGCCACCCAGGTGCCCCGGGGGTCTTGATCATTATTAATCAGCTACAGAAATCTGAGAAATGACTGTGAAGGGCTAAGGGGATCAGCTGTTTTTCTATGAATCACAGACCAGCTAAAATACTTTTGTTTATTTGATGTAACCTAATATCCGCCTGTCCTCAGTGGCTTCTCACCACTGAGGTCGACGCTCAGGAGATAAATATCCTGTTCCATTCTGCCTCTGTGCTGTTTGCTGAATAGGTATCTTTAGGCTTGAGTCAAAGAATAACCTATTTCCTAAATGTGTCGCAAAATAGAAACTTCCAATTTCTAAAAATGATTACTCCCATTACGAAGCCACACACCCAGTGACGTTCACTTTTTTTCAGAAAAAGAAAGGCAAAGTTCCATAACCTGTCTTTATAAATAAGAACACAAGATTGTTATAAAAATTGACTTAAAATGCATTTTTATGAATCATTACTTCTACGTCGAAAGAATTTTCACCTCTCTTAAAAATGCAATCTGAATGTTCTTATACGCAAACCCCAGGACATTTTGGAGGTCTCCTTTAATAGGAGAAAGTGTATGGGGCATGTTTCCTGGACCTAGTGGTGAATGGTGCACGTTCCCAAAGCTGGTGAGATGAACGTATGTTTCTACTGTTCTGCGAGTGCAGTGTTACCTGTGTAACAGAGAGGATGAAAGCAGGAAGGGCAAATGACATTGGAGTTTTGGTCGAATGGGTAGGCTGCCTGGGTACTGCCAAACTCGTGCTGACTGCATTTTCTGTCGATGAATCCCATGTGGCTAATGGGACCCTTGATAAGAAAAGACACTGACTCTGCTTCAGGCTTTAAGCATAATGAGAACCAGAGCTACATAATGCTACAGGATTTTTGAAAGTGTTTATATGAGGTATGCGCCTGCCCCATTTAGCCCTTCAGAAGAATCCCTATAAACTGTTGTCCATGAACCAGCTGCATCAGAATTCCCTGGAGAGCTTATTAACAATGCAGATTTTTCACACCAGAGGTCCAAATCAGACTGTGCGGGATTGAAGTCTGAAAATCTGTGTTTTAATAAGAAACCCAGGTGATAATTTTGCACGCTCAGATTTGAGAAAAAAAAAAACCATAAGGTTTATATCTAGTTTTATCTAATACGTGTGTCTTCTTTTATGATAATTTCTTAAAGTATGATGCATGACATTTATTTTCTATGAATATAACTTTCAACCATCACTTTCTCTGAAGGGTTTTAAATAGTGCATCTGCCAGAGGGAGATGAATTTTACTCATTCTGCAGCTCCAGGCTTCTCAACCTCTACTCAACTTTATTTCAGGATGGCTAATTCTTGGTTGTGGGTTGTTGTCCTGGGCATTGTACACCTAGAGGCTTTTCCGTGTTAGAAGCCAGTAGCATTTGCCCCCAAGTTGTAACAACCAAAAACATACACAAAAATTGCGAAAGGTCCCTTGGGCGACAAAATCACCCACCAGTAGAACTGAATCAATTATAAACTGTTCATTGAGCGCCCACTAGAGTTAGACCTCAATCTAGTAAGTGCTTCTTCAACTTGCTAGACCCCATGCTAACAGCTCACATGCCATAAAATCCACAACCACTTCACAACCCAGTGAGATGGATATGATTCATACATCTGTTTCATAGATGAAGAAACTAAGCCTGAGATAAGTGAAAACACTTGCACAAATTGTTCTTCAGTTCCAAGTAGAAGAACCTTGGTTCAAATCTAACTCCAAAGCCAGTGGGGTTTACTACTAGGGTTTTCATCTGATTATGCACAAATGCAGTTAGTAATACATTTCAGGATTCTAACTTTAAATTTAAATAATAGTCCTCACAGAGCTATTTGAACTCACCCTACTACTGCTGAAAGAAAACACCAATAGATCCGTTTCAAAGTTCATTTTCCACTCTTGCTCTGGATGGTGTTTCTAATTATATAATCTTGTGACATATCTAAATGCTTCCTACTTTTAAGTTCTTAAATTCTTTTAATTATCTCTTTTTTCATTATTAGTTGCTATTGGATCATAAAAACGTATTGGCTTTTTTTCTATTTAAAAATGAAATCCCTCAGACTTTTCAGAACCTCATCTTCTTTTTAAAATTTCATATCATTGTTATCCAACTCAATACCCAGATAATTAAAATTCTGATTATCCAATTCTTGCCCAGTATGGGAAGCCTTCACACTTTCTCTTGCTGTGCTACACACAGCCAAAATTAAAGCAGCCACTTCATTCAACATTCATTTATGCATTCACACTCCAACTCTTTGTGAGACTATATTTAGAGTAGTGTATGGTGCTGAGGAGGAAAAGGGAGCTAAAACTTACCAAGCGCTTACTATACACACTCCACCTACATTAATTCATGTAATCCTCACAACTACTCTCTGAGCCACACAGTCATCTCAGTGTACAAATAGGAAACTGGAGACAATGATTGTGCAAGACAAAAGCAAGAAGTAAAGTGGAGACTGGAATCTAGGGCTCTCAGACATGAAAATCAGGGCTCTTTCACTGGTATGATGCTATTAGGCACTCAGGAGAAAAATAAAGATGGTCCTGGGTATAGCAGGAGAAAGGAAGGCAGAGACAAGTACCAGGAGACAACTTAAGCCAAAGGTCATAACTTCTGTTATGAAATGAAATGAAAAGCCAGAGAAGGGATTCCATCCCATTCCAGCTGGGATGACCAAGAAGCAAGCCCGTCACAGGGATACTTTCACGTTGGGTCTTGGAAGATGAACGTTAAAAAAAAGAAAAAATAAGGAAGAAGTTCCAAAAAGAGGAAATGGATCAGCAAACGTTCAAAAATGGAAGGAATTTCATTCTATATTAGAGACTAGGTCAGTATTTAAAATGCCTGGACATGGTGGTACCTGGTACCCCGAGTAAGAGAAGTAGGCCACTGAGAGTGAGATTATGAACAAGGAAGGTGTGAGGAGGGTGTGAGTAAATACAGATTAAACAAGGAGGGGAGGAGCAGAGTCTGTAATTTCGTGGCATCCTGGAGACGATGCAACTTGGAGGGATTGTAGAGGGTAAACAATGATGAAGCCTTTAAGATGAAGTAATCACAAAGCTTACTAGAATTAAGGGGAGAGAGGTCTAGGAGCCCAGGGAGACAGAAAGTGATCAGGATCCATGTAAATTTTGGTGAGATGCTGGCTTTCAGATGAGCAAGGCACCAAAGTCACTAATGGTGGTCGAGGTGGGGGAAGTGACATAAATATGGTACAGAAATTTTTATAAGACCATTGTTTCATCACTCAATAACTGTGTGACTGGAAAGTTAGTTAACTTCTCTAGGCTTCTGATTCCTTGCCTAGAAAAAGGGCAGAGCCATGTAATGATCAAGAGTCTAAGGCTAGGCTGCTTGGCTTTGAAGTTCATTTCTGTTATCTATTACTTGAGTGATTTCAAGCAGTTATTTAACTAACCATGCTTCATTCCTTGTCTGCAAAATGGGGCTATTAGCAGAACCCATGTGTTCTTTTAAGTAAATCATCTAGAAGATTGCCTGGGATAACCTAAGCATTTAAAGGGTGTTAGGATCTATACAATGGCGCTATTCATCTCTTACACATTATA